ATTAAATTACATAAATCATGGGTCATGATTTCATAGAGCATAATGGTATATCTTTCTATTATTGGACCCTATATATGTTGTTTATTATCATATACAAATTTATATCAAATCTCTCCGAAACAATATAAATTATAAATACATTCTAATGATGATCAAGTATCAAAAAGGAACTAAGTGAATAATAACCAATCAACCAACGCTAATAAATGCAGTAAAAACGAGCAATATGAGATTAAAATAGTTCGCAACGTTTCAGGTTGTTGCTGATAGACGCCTGGTTGTACTTCAGAAGCTACTTCCGCCACACCATCCCCAACATTACCGTCATTGGTACTCCCACATGATGATGACTGACCATTGCAATTGGCTGTGGTGGGGGATGGTACATGCCTAGAAACTGCATATGAGAAGATTGTGCAGCAGCAGCACACATGACTACTGTGAGATGGCAAATAAGCAGCATGAGTTGTTTGCCCAGGCATGTTGTAATAAGAGTCTGGCTGCGGACTAGAAAGATCCCGTGGGTTTATCCACATTACAAATGTCTTTGCCTGACCATTAGGAATGTTAACATTGCTATCTTTGTACTTGAGCCGAGATGAATCTTCATGTCCTGTTTCACTTCTGATTTGGAGCTTTGCTACTATATTATGATCAAATGTGAAGAAAGAAAAATATGGTATGATATCGTGCGCTTCGTCATATTGTACACAAAATTGCAGGCTAATCAACAACCAATTTAGCATTCAAAATTGTAACAGAAGAAACAAAGGAAACATTCAGAACTTCAAGTAGAACCTTGGAAATGATCATCTTCCTTGTGCATCCAATGCCCCTTATCGAACGTGTGCGTCTTCTTTTTGTTGGCTCAACTTTCGTTTGCAATTCTAATATCTAAGTTATTCAATACATAAGTTTCTATTATACCTTGACATCTTTTCTCATTATCTATTCCAGCTATTTACTATCATAGAGGTTTGGCCACAAAGATTCAACGGCCAATTTGAGACTGGTTGTGGTTGGGTAAGTTGCAAGTGCACGCCTAATGGTGTCAAACACGCAACTTGCACGAATGATTCACTTATCCAATACATGCGATGACATTCTATTAAGAAGAGCCATCAACACTCCACCTTGCTGCTATACGTGAAGACCGAAGAATCACATGGAGTGTGATTGATGCTAATGTGCACCTATGGTCCAGCCTTTTGTTTGTTGCAACTATTTTATCCTCACGTGTGATGTACATATAATTAGTTATATTTTTGGCTTGTTGATCACTCAAAACTCTTGTATATAAGTGTATCAAGCTCTGTACAATAATATATCGGTCGCAATACAATTTCATCTCTTCTCTGTTTCTTTATTCTTTGGTACTATTTTATCTATTCTTCTCATCATTTTTAACTTGGTATCAGAGCCATTAATGGCTAATACCGGATCTAATGTTAACATCCAATCAGCTCAACCTGAATCAAACAATCTGATGCCTCTAATGCTCGAAGGAAATCAGACACCAATTTTTGGAATTAGCCTTTCTCTAGTGCCTCCGGTAAAACTTGATAGGAATAATTTCTTGCTGTTGAAAAATATGGTTATGCCCACTATCAAGGGGAATAACCTTGAAGGATTATCACTGGAACAATGGCGTGCCCAGCTGAATTTCTCACAATGCAAACCACGGGACCTGCTGGAGTTACAGTAGAGATGACACCAAACATTTAATATGGGAAATGGATGTCCATAGATCAGCTCCTAATGGGTGGCTCTACTCTTCAATGACTGCAGAAATAGCCATGAGAATAATGGGATCTACAACTTCACAGAACCTCTGGAATGCTGTCCAAGAGAGTTTTGGGGTAATGAATAAATCTAGAGTCACTTTTCTCATAAGTGAACTCCAAAGGACAAGGAAAGGCTTGATGAGTATTGATCATTAGTTGAATACAATCAAACAACTAGCTGACAACTTGGAAATTACAGGGAAAAGCATCCCTCACAATGATCTTGTCATACAAGTTCTTGCAGGACTTGATGAAAAATATACACCCATAGTAGTCCAAATCAAAAGCAGGGATTCCATTAGCTGGCATGAATTGCAATATGTCCTAATGACCTTTGAAAGCCGACTGGAGCACCTTAATTATGTGAAAAATAACTTAGCCTCAGTTAACTTTAGCCAAACCTCATCTAACTTTGTGCATAAATCAAATGCCAACAGAGGGAGAAAATTATCTTTGCTGGAAGAAGCTACAACAACAGGGGAATTGGAAGAAGCAGGGGCAGATTCATCAGACAAACTGAATTCAGAGGATCATGCCAAATTTGTGGCTTGAATAATCACTCTGCTGACAAGTGTTTTAATCGTTATGATGAAAGATATATGGGTGGAAGACCCAGTCAACATCCTAGGAACACTCCTCAAAGCCAGCAGCATTTGTAGCATCATCTAGCACTGTTGCAGATACATCCTGGTTCATGGATTCTAGTGCCAACAACCATGTCACTGCAGAGAAGAATAACCTGTTTGAGGTTCTTGAGTATAGCGGTAATGAGAAACTAACTGTTGGTAATGGTAATAAATTTCACATCTCACATGTTGGTGTCAATCACTTGTGCACTTTGAGCGATAAATCTCTTGTTCTTAATAATGTGCTACTGGTGCCTTCAATTAAAAAAAATCTTATGAGTGTGTCTCAGTTAACTTCAGATAGTATTCATAGAATTTCATCCTAACCTCTGTGTTGTGAAGGACAAACGAACGAAGGAAGTGCTGCTAGAAGTGAAGCTTAAAGATGGGCTTTATTAAATTGAGCTGCCAAACCAAACAAAAAATTTCACCTACCAATAGTCAGCCTACTCCAAACCAGCTTACTCCAATAAATTGAGTCCTAATACTTTTGTTGCTAAGTCAAAAGAGTTGAATGAGTCAAGGTTAAGGCAATGGCACGTGAGGTTTGGACATCCCACCATCATTGTGATGTCTCACGTACTCAAGCTTTGTAATGAAAAATTTAATACCAATGAAATCAGTCACTTTTGTGATGCTTGTCAACTTCGTAAATCCCACTCTTTGCTTTGTAAGTTGTCTGATTCACATGTTCTTGCTCCTTTAGATCTTATCCACTCAGACGTTTGGGGTCTTGCACCTACAACTTCTGCCTCGGGATTCAAATACTATATCTTTTTCATAGATGACTACAACAGATTCACATGGATTTATCCAATGAAAAAAAAAATCAGATGTCCTAAACCTATTCATTCGGTTCAAAAATTTGGTTGAAAATAAGTTGGATAGGAAGATTAAAACTCTCCGGACTGATTGGAGAGATGAGTTCAGGGCCTTTGCTGATCTAGCTCTAAATTCTAGAATTGATAGAAGGTTATCATGCCCTCACATTTCAGCTCAAAATGGAAGAGCTGAAAGAAAACACAGACACATAACTGAAACAAAAATGCTACTTGTACATAATTTTTCTACATAATGGTACACATAATACTCACATGGGGTGGGACCCATTTTAAAAGCGGGCCCCACCCCATGTGAGTATTATGTCAACCCCTATGTTAGCTCCTATGTACTCCAAGCAAAACTCTTTTTTTGGGAAATTGATGATAGTTGAGAGTGCATTTTGGATGTGTCGATTATGTTATAGTAGTTCTTGTACATATTGTTGTCCTTTAAAACCAATATTTCTATTCTTTCTTGTGCAGTTATATACAGTCCTCTCTCAAAATCTCAAGATAAAAACCAGTTAGATTATTTTTAATGCCAACACTATAATTAAGTCAACAAAGAAACAGCATTAAGAATACCCAAGGCCCATGTTTGACACACATTCTCTTAAATACATTTTTTCAAAATTCATTCTCAACCACACATTTTTCAATAAAATAATATTTTCTATTATATCAATAACTTTTTCTTATTTTTAACCACATATTTCCCATCATATCACTATTTAAAATACATTTTATCCTCAATAATATCCATCAAACCCACATCAATCAATCCATGCATGGAAACCTGCGAATAGAGGAAGAGCGGGGCAGGAGTATTTCTTCCCATATAATTGACAAGATAAATTATCTATAGTTTTCTCGTTATCTAATATATCTCATCAAACAATTCATAAATGTCAATGATTGACATTCCATTGCTGTCATTTTATGAGTATAATTATCTACTCTCCCAATGTGCCTACCATATGGCACTTGACGGATTCTTAGCTAGTTATCATTANTCATACATTTCATAAATGTCAATGATTGACATTCCATTGCTGTCATTTTATGAGTATATTTATCTACTCTCCCAATGATCCTACCATATGGCTCTTGACTGATTCTTAGCTAGTTATCATTATTGTAGATTGTATAATACATAATATAATTAATAGATAAAAAAAATAAAAAATAAAATACAATTTATGTTTAAAGAATAATGAGTGAATAATAGTGTTCAATCCAACAATCAAACCATAACACTATTTATAACCACTCGTTAGTCTTATAGATTTTGATTAGTTGTCATCTGAAAAACGTTCGATGATAATTTGGACTTATGGCAAAAGTGTTGATTATTATGAAACTAAGAAACTCAAATCTATGTGTAATGCTATCGATTTTGTTATTGTCAAAAGGTATAAAATAAATTTTCGAACTTGTAGTTTGATATCATATATGCTGCATTTCTTTAAAAACATTACCGTCGCACTTGATTAGATGATATATTTACTTAAAAATATCAATTATTATTTTTAAATATACCGTCACACTTGACCATGAAATATTGATATTATGAGAGCTAACAAATTGACTTTGTTTGGCGTAATTTAAAATTTTGATAAAAATTAAGTCGAAATCAACAATTAATCCTAATCATACGTTCCATGGGTCCCACAATTTTTATTAATTTTTTAACCATATATTTTGTTAAATTTTATCAAAATCTACTAAAATTGACTTTTAGCTCCATCGAAGATGGACAAAATGAGATATTTTGTGTTAACATAGGTCAAGTTTGGGAGTTAATTGTCCTAATAGTCATTGATCTTATGACTGTGACTTCGATTGCTTAAAGTTTAAGATGTCGAGTTTTATCAATTAAACTTATAAAACCTTGGACATTATTCATGATCTGGCATCTATTTCTCGGAATTAGTGACGTGCTAATAAATTGCAACGTCTTTGATTGCTCACTAAACTTTGAAAATCATATTCTGTTGCTCGATAAACTCTAAAAAATGTTTCCGATTGCTCACTTAACTTTTTGGCCACTAAACTTATAAAAATGACATCGGTTTGTTGTTCGTTAAAAAATGTATACCGTAAGTGCACGGATCACATAAAAGTAATAAAGTGGACAAATGAATTCGGATTGTCGTTCCCACAAGAAATTATTACTCAATTACAATAATTTAATTTAATTTTAACATATTTTTGTAAAATTTTAAGCTATCCTCATCATTTGAAAAATTCAAATTTATTGTGTGTTTCATTTTTAAATAATTAAAATAAAATTTTAATTTTGCAACAAAACACACAATAAGTTTAATTAAATGTATTTTGCAACGAAACAGTTAATAAATTTGATTAAGATTAGCCTGTTTGAGCCCCATTTTTTGTTAAAGATGAATTTTGGAATAGTATTTTTGATGCATAATGTGTGGTTAAAAAATAAAAGAAAGTTTTGAGTTTACGTGTAATATTATTTTATTGAAGAATGCGTAATTGAAAGTAAGAG